ACACAAGAGAAACAGGCTGGGGACTAAAGCCACACCCTATAGACAAGACATACACTCTATATAGGAGAGCGGCACCCTACAGAAAAGGAATACAGGCTGTAGAGAAGAGATACACCCTATATATGAGACACACCCTATATACATGAGCTGTACCCTATATACGAGCTCTATACATATCATATAGGAGAGCTAAACACCCTATAGGAGAGCTGCATCCTATGTACAAGAGCTACACCCTAAATATGAGCTCTGCACACTCTAGAGAAGAGTTCCAACCTGTACACATCATATAGGAGAGCTGCACACCCTACAGGAGAGCTGCACCCTACATACCCTATACACCAGAGCTGCACCCTCCACAATTTCCCATAAGAGACCTGCAGGAACTTCCCCCCCCCCCCAACCCCCCCCCCCCCCCCCCCCGTTTCCTGGATGGGAATCACACCCCAAACTTCCCCCCTTTCCATAGGGCACCTGAGCCCCAAACACCCCCAAAACCCTTTAATTGTCCACAACTCCCAGAATTGACCCTAAAATCGTTTATCTTGTGCTTTTTTTCTATAAGAATCCCTCAAATTAAGACCCCCCCAAATCAGGACCCCCGAGTTACCCCCCCCCCCCCCCACCCCCCAACCCCCCCCAAAATAACCACTTTACACCCCCCAAAATCCCCTTTAATGTAACTCCCAAAATTTACCCCAAACACGCCATACCGACCTTTTTTTCTATGACTCCCTCAAATTAAGACCCCCCCAAACTGCTCCATAACCCCCTAACCACCCCAAAATAACCATTTTACACCCCAAATCCCCTTTAATGTCTGTAACTCCCAGAACTGACCCCATAATCGCTTATCCTGGGCTTTTCTCTATAAGACCCCCCCAAATTACCCCCTCACTGCTCCACATCCCCCCAAACCACCCCAAAATAACCATTTTACACCCCCAAAATCCCTTTTATTGCCTGTAACTCCCCAAATTTACCCCGAACACGCCTGTACTGAACGTTTTCTATAAGACTCCCCCATATCAACCCCCCAAAATTAAGCCCCTCCCCCCTTGCACCACATCCCCCCAAACCACCCCAAAATAACCATTTTACACCCCCAAAACCCTTCTATTGTCCATAACTCCCAAAATTTACCCCAAAATCGTTTATCCTGTGCTTTTCTCTATAAGAATCCCCCAAACTGACTCCCCCAAATCAAACCCCCCTAAATTAACCCTTCACTGCTCCATATCCCCCCAATCCATCCCAAAATAACCATTTACACCCCCAAAAATCCCCTTTATTGTCCATAACTCCCAGAATTGACCCCAAACACGTTCATCCTATGCTTTTTCTTTAAGATTCCCCCAAATTATGACTCCCCCAAATTACTCCTCCTCTGCTCCACATCCCCCCCAACCACCCCAAAATAACCCCTTATATCCCCCAAAATCCCCTTTATTGTCTGTAACTCCCCAAATTTACCCCGAACACGCCTGTACTCAACATTTCCTATGAGACCCCCCAAATTAAAGCCCCCCCACTGCTCCACATCCCCCTAGACCCACCCCAAAATCAACCATTTCACGCCCCCCAAACCCCCCCAAACCCGCCCCCCACAGCCCTCCCTCCCGCGGGCGGGGCCGGGAATCCCTCAAATCCTTGGGAAACCCCCCGAAAACCCGGGAATCCGCCCCAAAAAACGAGCCGGGAGCCGCTTTGGTGTGGGATTCTCTCTGTAGAAAACTCGGGGCCGAGCCCCCCCTTTTCCAAAACGACAAAAAAAGAAAGTCATAAAAACAATAAATCCCTCCACCCCCCCCTTTTTATTTTGTTTTTATTTTGGGTTTAATTCTTTCCGCGCCCAAAAATAAGGTGGGAAAAAAGGCTCTTTCCGTGCCTTTCCCGGGTCGTGGAGCACCGCGGCGGGCCGGGAGCGGGGCCGGGAGCGGGGCCGGGATGGGCGGGATGGGGTCGGGAAGGGGGTCCCGGCTCAGCAGCCCCCGCAGCTCCGGGCGCAGGACGCGCCCACGGCCGCGCAGAGCCCGCTCGTGGCCATCACCCCGCACTTGGAGAACTTGTCCCGGCACAGGTCGGCTGCGGGAAAACACCGGGATCAGCCGGGAATGCCGGGAAAGAGGGGAGGAGAGGTGAGGAACCCGCCCCCCCGGTGGGGATGGGAACGGCGGGAGGATGGGGGGGGGGCGGCCCCCCAAAATAGGGCCCCACGCTCAGGGGTGGGCAGAGAGCGGCAACGGCTCGTCCCGGGGGAGGGGATCCATCCCCATCCCCATCCCCATCTTCATCCCCATCCCCATCCCCATCCCAAAATTCACAGCTCATCCCATGGGGGAGGGGGATCCATCCCCATCCCCATCCTCATCCCAAAATTCACAGCTCATCCCATGGGAGGGGATCCATCCCCATCCCCAAATCCCCATCTCATCCCCTGGGGGAGGGGGATCCATCCCCATCCCTGCTCCCAAAACCCCCGGCAGAGCCTGGCCCATTCCATGGGAGTCACTGGAGCAGCTCGGTTTGGCCGGGGGGATTTTTCCCCGATAATTCCCAGGGAAAAGGCCCCGGGCAGGGCCGATCCCAACCTTTGGGATCCCGGCTCCCTCACCACCCTTTGGATCCCGATCCCTCAGCACCCTTTGGATCCCGGCTCCCTCACCACCCTTGGGATTCCGGCTCCCTCACCACCCTCTGGATCCCTCAGCACCCTTTGGATCCCGATCCCTCAGCACCCTTTGGATCCCAATCCCTCAGCACCTTTGGCTCCCTCACCTCGCAGCAGCTCCTCGTGGGCGCACACGGTGCGGACACAGATCTCCTTGTTGATGACGTAAACCCGGCGGAGGCTGGATTGGGAATGGGATAAAAGCCATGGAAAGGGGAGGGTCAGGAAAAGCAGGGGGGGATTCCCAAGCTTTCGGGGGGCTCGGGAAGGGTTTCCCCCTCACCTGTAGAAGCAGATCTCGTTCAGGCACTGCTTGCACGGCTTGTGCACCGAGTAGAGCCGCGTGCAGGGATACTGCTCCTCCCGGCAGTCTGCGGGAAAACGGGATGGGATTCCATGGGAATTCCTGCAGAGGGGTCTGAAAGCCTCCCCCCTCCCCCCCGGATCGGCACATCCCGGCTCCAGAGGGACCAAAGGCGGGATGAGCCCCCCGGGATCGACACTCACCCAGCGGTCCCGGCTCCGTGGGCTCGGTCTCGGGGGCGGCGGCTGAGGGGGGAAAGGGGGGAAGTTTAGGGGTGGGGAAAAGGATCTCCCCACCCTTTCCCTGGATTTTAGGGCTGGAGCCAAAGGATCTCCCCATCCTTTCCCTGGATTTTAGGGCTGGAGTGTCCCGCTGTGGGCACCCGGGGGGAGCAGAACCGGGATAAGGGAGCAGGGAGGGGCTGAGACCCCCCAGGCTTGGGATTGAGGGGGCCGGGGGGGTTGTCACCCACCTTGGGGACTGTCACCCACCTTGGGGACTGTCACCCACCTTGGGGAGCTGTCACCTACCTCAGGGAGCTGTCACCCACCTCAGGGAGCTGTCACCCACCTCAGGGTCTGTCACCCACCTGGAGAGGTTGTCACCCCCTTGGGGAGCTGTGAACCACCTGAGGGGACTGTCACCCACCTCAGGGAGCTGTCACCCACCTGGGGGGGGTTGTCACCCCCCTCGGGGAGCTGTCACCCCCCTGGAGGGTCTGTCACCCCCCTGGAGGGTCTGTCAC